TAGTACTTTCTTTGCCCTTCACCTGCAATCCTTGTTTCATCGTTTCTTTCTTTTCCGATTTTGTTCAGCTTGAGTTTCAAAATCTACTAAATCATCAGAATTCCTCTTTAAAGAATTGCATTCCTTCTGTACTGGAAAGTGGGATTCTCGTTTCCGAAAATGGATCGTATAGAGTCTTTCCCTGGGATGGTAGAGGCATACCTGAAGTTATTGCCTCCAGCAATCTCATTTCAGTAAACCAAACAGATGTTGATTACCCATTTGGTGTTTTGGGCAAAAAACAATTTGAATATCAAAATGCTGGAAAGCCATTGCACAATTCCGGAGATTGTAGTAAAAGCTCATTCATGTGGCCGTACATTGTGACAAAAAGATGCAGGGGGAGGATATTTGCGGACCTGTGAGTAGTAATTCTAATTTTATATTAGCATTTGAATCCTTGCTGAAAGAAAGTTACTTATAGCTGGATCTTACATTGTTTGATTTGCAGTAGAGATACCCTCCCGTTAGAAAACGTTCTCAATTTGGCTTCCTTTCTGGGTGAGCAGTTGCATAATCTTCATGTTCTGCCTGTCCCTTGTCCATCACATGGGAATGGGAATGCCAATAAGATTGACCATTCAGCTGAATGGAAATTGTTTATCATGACTCTAAACCAGAAAAGGAAGGGTGTAATGAGACGTTTGTCTGAATGGTATGAGATTCTTTCTAATATGACATGCTGGTTCTAGATTCACATAGTTAAGCTTTGTATATTTGTATTATGTTCTCTCTCTCTTCCCTCTCTTGAGCTCGCTAATGCATTAAAATCTACATATGGTTAGGACAAGAAATTGAGATCAGGGTCAATGAGAAAGAACATTGGAATTACTTAAATTACAACTAATTCCTCAATCTTTCTAGTGACTTCCAACTATCTCTTTTAGATTAAGAGGTTAAGTTTGGACCTAATTCAACTATAAAATTTCATGAAAAATGTTAACACTGAACCTGATTCAATATAAAAATTTAAGAAAATGGATTTTTATAATTTTTTCTTGCGAGTTCTTGAACAAGGATTTGGTTCGTGTAAATTATTCATGTTGTAATGTTTACTAGAAAAGGACACTGGGACATCAAATTCGTAACAAAAGAAATGTGATAATGGAATTTACAGATCTAGCAATGTCCATGAGTTGGTCAAACTAGCAAAGACCCTCTGAGTTGCATATGCTATGAATAGTGTTGTTTTAACTGAGACTTTAGGTTGAGCTTTCGTGTCTAAATATTCCATTTCCAGCTCATGAAATGGTAGAAGTATCTTTGCTTCACAATGTAATATCCAGCAAACTTGGGTTACCATACCCTATTTGATTAATAGTGTATTAATATATGGCCTACATATTTGTGTGTCCATTGTAAGAAAATATCTAACTTGGGACTTGAGGCTGCAATATATTTTTCTTTTAAGTTTTGT